CCCGGTTCAGTGTCGGTTGGATGTAGAATTCTGGGTGAGAATCATTTTAGAATAAACCCTAAACTTTCAAAGATAATATGACACTTTTGATGTCTGCTGCCTTTTAGTGGCATCAACAGAAATACAGTCGTGTCTATGTGGTAATGTTTGAAACAGAAGGATTGACGTCAGTGTTTGGCGGACCAGATCAGAAAGTCCAGTGGGCTGTACTTAGCAACGACAACAAAAGTTGTCGATGACGATGATTACAGTTTGTCTACAACAATAACAATAAGAATAATCTTTAGATGCACAGATGTTGATGTGGTGTTCCCCAGGGTCTTGTGCTTGGTCTTAGCCTAATTTTATAATAAAAATGGCTGGAAAATGAACCCAGTTACCAGGTGCTCCCGCACAAGAACTAAAATGAACTCTCTTTTCTCACTCAATTTCCCATTTCACCACTACCCTCAGTTGAGGTAGACCACTGCACACTATGAGTGTGAATCTGCACACTGGTTAAAAACATGAAAGACTTGAACTGGCTAACCGATGATTCAGCAGGTATTGATGCCGAGTGCGCCTCCACCGTCACTGCAGCTGTGTCATAGAGATGATTGGTTGATGGTTGATTGGAAAATACAGGTTCAACCTCTTCAGGATAGGAATTCCACTTGTTTTGACTGATGAAGTGAATGATGTGAACCCTCTGTTTATGTGTGATGTGAATGTGTATACTACATGTTTCAACAACTAAAGTAGGCTGTAATAATACTAAGGACAATATTGTGGTGAGTTGGAGGTGAGTCAGAGTGGAGTCACAGCTTGATAGTTAACTATGTTTTTGGTTCTCTACTTCTGCCGGCCTGTGTCCCTCGCCTGTGCAATGACTCGTTCTACCCAATGTGTTTAGCTTGTGCCTTGATATCTTCCCACCCATTGTGTGTATATGATCCATGTCTTCTCTGCCTTCTGTGTCAGTTCTGTCCTGTCTATTGTGTGAAGACAAGACATTTCTTAGCCTGCGGCCTAGGGAGTATTGACAAAGAGGGCACTGAAATTACCGCCCTCAACCCCCCCTTCACCTTGCCTACACAACTCAGTACTAAGAACCAGTCCACAGGAAAGACACCTTCTACATCGCACCATATAAAAAATAAATAAATAACTTCAGTTTTTCCAGCATCTCTGATACTTCTGGATGCAGAGACATAACCCGTAAACTGACAAAGACAGTAGCTAGAAAGACTCTTCAACCACTCCTGATCTTTTCATCATTTACCTAAATATATAATATATACATAAAACATTTGCCAATTTGATACAATGACCATTTGCTTTGCAAATATTAAATCGTCTTGATCACTTGTTTGGCACTTTGACTGGATCTTTGTGTCTCCAGTCATGTGGTCATATCGGCAGTCTGACATATATGTGCTACAAACAACCTACTATCCTTGTGTGCCATGTACTATATACTTAATGATATTCTAGGACAGTGATCATCAACTACCATCCTGCTGGATGAATCTGGCCCGCTTAACAGTCCCATCCGGCCCATGACTGGATTCCAAAATACAGAAAATAAAATTTTGAAATTTAGAAGATTTTCAACAAACTTTTTCAACATCTGACCAAAATTTATTTTAAAACAAACTCTCAAAAAAAATTTTTTTCTAAAATAATTTTCAAAATACTATATTTTGATGAGAAACATGCAGAAAATATAAAATTTTATTTCAAGATTTCAAGGTTTTTTTAAGCATTTTTTTTCTAAAAAAGTTTAAAAATTTTTTTTTCTAAAAATGTTTTCAAAACATCAAAATGTATCAACATCTGACCAAAACTTAGAAAAAGAAACAAAAAAGATACAATTTTGAGAAATAATTTTACAAAAACTTTGTCAATATTTATTAGAATTTGACCAAAAATTACACAAAAAGTTCACATTGTGACAGAAAATTTAATAAAAATAAATTTCAAAAAACGTTTTCTAAATGCCCTGATTTTATGAGAAACATGCAGGAAAAGATAAAACGTTTAAAAATAATTTTACAAAACTTTTCTTCAAAAATGTATTAGATTTTGATGAAAAAAGACACAAAAAGTTCACATTTTGACAGAACATTTTATTAAAATAAATTTGAAAAAATGTTCTCTAAATGTCCTAATTTTATGAGAAACCTGCAGGAAAAGCTACAATTTTGAAAAATAATTTTACAAAACTTTTCATTAAAACTTTTGGTTTTTGACCATAAATGAAAGGTTTTATGAAAATAAAATTCAAAGAATATTTTCTAAATACCCTACATTTATGAGAAACATGCAGCAAAATATACATTTTTTAAAAATAATTTTACAAACATTTTTGTCAAAATATTTTAGTTTTTGACCAAAAATTACATGAAAAGTTCACATTTTGATAGAAAATTCTATAAAAGAAAAATTCTAAAAATGTTTTATAAAGTTTATGAGATACATGCCAGAAAAGATACAATTTTAAAAAATAATTTTACAAACATTCTGTCATTATTTTTTTAGTTGTTTTTTTTTTTTTTACAAAAATGACTTGAAAAGTTAACATTTCGAGAAAGAAAGAGAACATTTTATGAGAAACATGCATCGTCTTGATCACTTGTTTGGCACTTTGACTGGATCTTTGTGTCTCCAGTCATGTGG